TCTTTCTTTCTTTCTTTCTTTCTTTCTTTCTTTCTTTCTTTCTTTCTTTCTTTCTTTCTTTCTTTCTTTCTTTCTTTCTTTCTAGGAAATACATGTTTGTAAGACAGCAGAAAATGGACCAGTAGTTGAGGACTATTTGAAGATAAAAAAAAAAGAAGGAATAATTGAGGAATCAATCTCCTGGAGGGGTGGGATAGGATGGAAGAACATATGGAAAAGAAAGGAATATGGACCTTTTCCTCAGAGACTCAAAAGAGGAGAAAATGAGGTATTATATGAGTTTTGAGGTATAGAATAAAGCTAAGGGGGCTCATAACAGATGGCCTCAATTTTCTTGATAAAATAAGTGGTAAGGTCACCTTCAGAGAGAGAAGATGGTAGTGGAGACATGAAATCTTTGAACAGCTGCTTCAAAAAGTAAGAGTCAATGAAAGAGGAGTAAAAGGAATGCTAAGTAATCAGTTCTAGACTCTAATTTCTGAATTAGAGTGTGACTAGCAAGAAGATGAAGGTGGAACAAATTCAAGGTTAAAATACAGGAAGTGATTAACTGATTAGGGCTAGACAATGAAGGTAGTAAAGTGAAACCAAAGTAGACTGGGGAAAGAAAAGATGATGGGGAAGATGTGGATCAAGATGAAGACAATGATGAGTTTTATGAGGGAAGGATTGGTTAGGATGAAATAATAGATTATGATCACAGAGAAGGACATAAGAAATCTGAATCATGGATATAGCACATGCATGGGTTACCATGGGTGACACAACAAGGATCAGACCTTGGGTGACTAAAGTATAGGTAAGATGTAAACCTTGGAAATTTAGGAGTTTAGTGACCTGGAAAGAGAAGGTTTTAGAAAAAAAATATATAGGATTTTTAGTCAAAATATTTGACTTCCAGAATAACCATTTACTGGTTGCATAAGTCTTTAACTTTTTGCCCCAGCTTCCTCACCTGCAAAATGGAAATACTGACATGTACCAAACTACCTCTCAGCCTTTCTTGGTAAGGAAAACACTTTAGAAACAGTCAAATGATTGGTAGATGGGAGCTGGATTAGTACAAGACTACAGGAATGATGAAGACACCCCATGCTCATTTACACTCCATTCCCAAACCCATGTGCCAAATGAAAAATGACAAATTAATTAGGGAAAGAAATTTTATTTCCAAGCTTCTAAGAGGGTTCTACAAACAACAGAGACTAAAACCAAAACCAAACTAAACAAAAACAACAAAAAAGTCCTCCAAACCCAACCATTTATAACTCTTAAAAAATAGTGGACAGTGTCCCTTTTTAAGTTGAACATAAACATGTAGAAAATGAAGTGATCAATTCTATCCCTAATACAGTCCCAATGGTGTCATTTGACATCAACCTTTACAATGGGATTACTTGTACTTGTGTTCTCATGTAAGTATGATTTCTGTATTTTTTTTTGCCTATTTCCATTGTTTCAAATTCAAGTGGAGAACTGTGCAAATCTAGCAAAATATTCTTTGGATTATTAAAATATAGAAAAAAATTAACTCAACTGGTAAAATCATGAACCTAGAGAAAAGACAATCTGTTAGTAAAATGGAGGACTCTGAGTTCACCATATGTGGGGATTTGGTTCCATTGACATCTCCTTTAAAATTCTGATTTGAATCCAAAGTGGTCAATGTGAGCGAGGAGCTCGTAGGAATGCTTTGAAAGTGATTATCTGTGTTTGTGTCTCAATTTTGAACTAAAAGTTACTAAATGGAAAGTTGTTCCAGCAAAGCACATGGAATAACATTATATAATTTAAAGAGAGAGAAAAAGAGAGAAAGAAAGAAATTCTAAGCATTGCCTATCATCCTAGATAGGCCACTTTTCCTGTTCCTGGGACGAAATAAAGAAAAACTATGTGCTATGTTGATATTACCTTTCCCCTACTATTGCTAATTATAGAATCCTAAAATCTCCACGTTGGTGTGACCTAAGAGGTCATCTAGTGCAACCTCTTTCAAGTCAACCTTACCACACACACACTGGTTATTGCTCTAGTTGTCATTTGGAATATAACCTAGGTTATCTCTCACTGCAAATGAGGAGCATGATACCTATGGCACAGAGGTCATGAGAGTAAGGATTGTAGCATCTTCTCAAAGTGCCATACTTCAAGCTCCATTGAAATCTTTCCTGTCTGATTTTCCAGAGCAGATAATGCATCAGCGAGGAGCTATACAGTCCAAGAAGCTATATAATGTTTCAGCAGACTGCAGATACGTATACAGAGCTGAGCTGATACATTGAACCTATCCCAGTCCCATACCCCCTTGCCCCATCTCAAAATAAAATATATGTATAAAAAAAACAAGCCATAGATACTTTCATTCAATTAAAAATGCTCAAAATAGCAAATCTGAAGCAAATCACTCTCTTTCATTAAAAATTTAAATGTCTGGTTATTCAAAAATGAAGTCATTTTACAGCAGGAAAACAAAAATATCTTGAAATGCTAGAGTCGTAATTAATATGCAGATAAACTAATGGTCAGGTGGAACATTGTGAGGGACTCTCTTAATCACATGGGGTAAAACTTAAAATTGCTCTGGTATATCAGAAGAGTTCATTCAAGACAATGAAGCCTCCACCACAAACGTGGGAGATTATGGGACCTTCGTTGCCTTATTATCACATAATCATGGAAGTACTAAGAGAGAATATAAATGCACATTACATAACATATATTGTAAAATGAGAAACAACCCTCAGTCCAGAGCATCATCTCCTCCTAAGATCTGTGCTCTGAGAGAAGTCACATCTTCTACTGAGAGGGTACAAATTATTCACAAGACATTACAGAATCTTTTCGAAAAACATTTGTAAAATGTATTTGCTTTTTAAATAAACACTTAACAAGGCAACAGACAAATTTCAAACAGATAATAAATAGGGCCATTAAAAGGTCACAATTGTCCATTAGAACTATAAATGGGACATTAGAAACACGGGGCTGCTTTTAAATGCTTAAGAATTGAAAACAAGGATTAAAAAAAGAATCATTTTTTTTATTTCAAAGGTTGCTTCTTATATTGAAGCACATATTAAAGCAACAGTACAATGTTCATAAAATATAAGTGTGATGCTGTAACATTTCTTACATGTCAGAATACTGAAATCTGTATGTATACTAAAATAAGAGCTTTAAAATTGTACAAATAGATACATTAAAAATGACATAGAAATAGGGCGCCTCCCACTGCAACAAGACAGAGTTATATCTGGCACGTATTAGTTTAAGATGAAAGTATAAGCAAAAAGATTTACAAGAATTAGCAGTAACAAGTTTGATGCTCAAGAGACAATAATTGTACATTGTATTGTACATACATCATATGGGTTTAAGCTGGCTGAATATTATATATTTCAAGTTTAAGAATGCACTACGTACAGAGTGTCCATAGTTTTAAGGCGAAATTACAGCTCAGAACTGTTGTCCTTTTTAATTTTGTGGAAGCTTCTTTGACTTAAAAGATTTAGATGTCCATAACACAGAAAAAAAAAATCCCTTCATTGTTAAGTCCACTGTTAACATTTTTCTTCCCTTAAATATTTTGCACGGCAAGTGGTTTCTCTTGAGTGAAGTCGATAACCAACTTCCATATTTGCCTTTTGGGAGAAAAGGTACTTCACAGTATTTACCACTGGGAGGTCCTCGTTTTTATTAAAGTGATCCTCTCTGTAAAATGCTGCCATTCTAAATGAGCCTTTCCTTGATTTTAAAAAAATACCTGTTTACATTTCTTCCGGGGTCTTCAGAATATTGGACACAGTTCTTAAGGCCAAATTTGTATCTTTATTGTTAAGAATCATCATCAAAAGTGTCTTTGGAACCATACAAGTCTGCTAGTTTCTTAAAACGAGGTCCCCAGTTTTGTAGATAATCGTAGTCCAAATCAGAATCTGTTGTCGCTGACTCTAAGGAGCTGAGAGAGCCAGCCACCGAGCCCCGCCCTTCATAGCCGTAGATCTGGATAGAGTCATAAGGGGGAGCCGTTGGGTCATTGTCAGCCTCCTGTATCCTCGTGTTGATGAAATCGTCGACATCGACACTATTGGGAGCTGGTCGAAGGCCGGGTCTGGGCATATACTGGTACTCCGGCTTGATATCTTTACGTGGGATAAATCCATTAATCCCATCAGGGTTTTGGAGGGTTGCGATATCAAAAGCCTCGGTATCTTCTTCTCCACCACCTTCATCATCATAAGTAATGATGTTCTCTCGCACATCTTCTTCCTCAAAGACAATTAGTGGTTCTTTCTTTTGCCTTCTCAGGGTCACAAATAACACGACAATAACTACAGAGAAAGATAAAGAAGATGTGAAGCTAGAGTAATTGTTTCTTATGTTCTCAATTTCCTTTACATGTCTCCCACACATTTGTACCCTCTACTGTACCACTGAGTGAATTAAAGGGAGAAAGGTTAGGTTAGGGGCATCTAGACTCTCTGTTATACAGTTTTAATGAACAATTCTGAAGATGTAGTTTCAAAGTTATCTTTCATCTGCTCTGCATTTATCTTATCTGTTTTGATTTATATATGCTATCTCTTCTCATTAGAATATAATCTTCTTGAGGACAGAGATTGGTTTTGCTTCTTTTTGTTTTAATTGAATCCCCATTATAATGTCTGGAATAAAATAAATCCTTAGTCAGTTGCTTGATTGATTATTTGATCTTAGTTCTTTAGAAAAAAATTCATTATTCCTTTGTGACTAAGACATTCTTAATTATTAGAAAGACCTTTCTTATACTGTAGCACACTTGACAGTTTCCTCATCTATGAGGTGAAGTGATTAGACTAGAAAGTGGCTATATTGAGCTATTTTCCAACTTTAATTCTACAAGAGGAAGAAGTGAATGGATGAAGCATTGATGTTCTATATTCTAACACCAAGAGGGGTAAGGCAATTGATAGTTGAATGAAAATTTAATGGAGTCAAAAAAAAGCTGTGTTCAGTTCTTGTGTGTGACATCAGGTGAGTCACATATGATAGAGTGAACCCTCTACGCCTAATTTTTTTCTCATCTGTGAAATGAAGACAGGAATACTTCTCTACTTATCTCTCTGTTTTGTTGTGAGGAGGGTGCTCTAAAAATCTTATGGGTCTTTGTAAATGTTTGATATTTTAATTAACATTTTGGGTTCAAAGGTCCCTTCCAGCTCTCTAGGTCTTCATGAACTTTTAGGGAATTTTAGGTCATTTCTTTAAGAAAGAGAAAGTTGGAGTTAAGGCTGTCCCAAGGCAGCCCATTTCGTTTTGGGGTACTGAATTGGGAGGACTCTTTCTTTCCTTCTGACTAAAATCTTCCATAATATATGTTCCTCCATAAAGTGAAAGGGAACAAGCTTAATCTCTCTGCCACATGATAACCCTTGAAATACTTGAGGTCAGTAATCATACCCTACTAAATCTTTTCTTCAGGCTAAACATCTCCAGTTCCTTTAATCAGTTTTTGCATTATTTCATGATCTCTGATTCTTTCATTTCCCTGGTTACCTTTTACTGAATAGGTTAAAGTATATCAGGGCACAGTGACTTAGCTCGTATCAGACAACCTAAATATTTGAACCACCTGCACATTATGGCTGAAAGTCATGGATCTTAAAATTAATCTCCCATACTTAGTCAAGAATAAATCAACCAAGACACATAATGAAGGACATAGCTTACCCAGCAAAATCACAATGCAGGCCAAGATGGCAACTAAAGCTCCTGTGCTGAGTCCGGCATTGAGGACATAGGCCTCAGCGTTGCAGGACAGCAATGCCCCATTCACATCACATCCGCAGACCTTGATTGTCAGGGTGTTGGTGCTGCTCATGGGAGGTATGCCCCCGTCACTGATCACGATTGGTAGCAGGTATAGGTCTTGCTTCTGCCGGCTGAAACCCCCACGTTTGACATAAACACCGGCAGTGTTGTCTGTAAGGAAAAAGCGAACTCTCAGTTTGTTTGAGTCCCTTTGACTGCCAACAACAACTCTTTAGGATTCAGGAAGAAAGATAGGAGGTCACTCTTCTCCTTGTAGGGGTTAACTCCCCAAATCTTCCTCACTTGTTTCTTAATCTAAGTATCTAAGAATGACTGAGCCTGTTTGGCATACTAAGATTGCAACACATTCTCTGATTCCCTGGTGTCTGTTTCATCTATCAATGTTCCAAGGCAACCATCAATTAAAGGATAATTCCAGTTCCAAATCCTCCAGAAAGCCCTCCTTGGTTCTCTAGTTAAAGCTCACATAGCACTTTCTTATATTCTCCTCTTTTAGATTCTAGTAATTTAGGAGTATTTAATGCCTTCTCCTCCTTAACTCACCTAGGACAAGAGGACAAAGGACTGTTGCCTTTCTACATTCTGAATCACCTCCCTCACTCCCCATCCCCTACACAAATCTCTTGACAGAATCATGGAATTTCAGAGCTGGAGGGGACCTCTGTGGACATGCAATCTAACTCACCTGGGACAAAATGCTCCTCCTACAAAATGCCCGACTGTTGGTCATTTAGCCTTTCTTGAAGATTTCTAATGAGGGAGATCTTGCTACTTCTCAAGATGTCCCATCCTACTTTTAGATAGTGCTAATTGTTAGAGGTGGCTTTTTTTTGTTGTTGTTTTTTTCCCTAAATCTGACTCTTTGAAACTTCCATTTGATCCAGACCCTGAACCCCATAGATGCTTAGTAAATATTTGTGGAATTGAATTAAATCTTAGTACAAACACAAGAAATTGAATTTCCCTGAGCAGTTTAATTGGCAGTCTAACATCATCATTCCTGCTGTGTGAGTCCCTCAATTTATGTCAGTGTCCTTAATCATTGAATGTAGGATATTGTCCTGTCCCACTTAAACAGACAGTATCACGTCAGAATAGTACTGGGCATATACTTGTGCTAAGAAAAGTCAGGTCTTTGTTATGATGACAATTTCTCCATGCAAGACCTGTTCCATTGAATGCCTGGCTCTATCCATATGGGTATTCCTTCTTTGGTACAAATTGGTCCATATTTTCTTATCCACTATGCTTCCTGTTCATTACCCTTCACCCCCCAAAGTCTCCATATTTACCTGGCATGCTGAAAACCTTCCTTATTCTGTGTCTTTTCATTATTATTATTATTGTTGTTGTTATTTTAGGCAATTGGGGTTAAGTGACTTGCCCAAGGTCACACAGCTAGTAAGTATCAAGTGTTTGATCTGAGGCTGGATTTGAACTCAGGCCCTCCTGACTTCACAGCCAGTGCTCTATTCACTGCGCCACCTAGCTGCCCCCCCCCCCCATATTTCTTTTCATTATTAACATACCATTGGGGCCAACTCTTAAGGAGGCAGCAATATAAATACTGGTTAAAACCATGGTTCTGTTTGCAGGATGCCTACCATACAAGAAGAATTGAGTATGGACTAAGAAACTCCTATATTCCTGTCCTGGCTTCATTACTTATAGCTGTGTGACCTTGAGCTACTCTCTTAACTCTTCTAGGCCTCACTTTTTCTCTTTCAGAGTAGAGACAATAATTCTTACACTACTTCTTTCAAAGCACTTGAGGAAAGTGCTTTGAAAAAGCAGCAGAGTCACAGTGGCTAGAGTGTTGGGCCTGGAATCAGGAAGACCTCAGTTCAAATCTAACCTTGAGTTACTTGAGTTACCTTATCTGTAAAATGGGGATAATAACAACTATGTTCCAGAGTGGTTGTGAGGATCAAATGAGACAGTAATTGCAAAGTAATTATCATAGTACCCGATACAAAGTGTCATTTAAATGTAAAGTACTATTATTATTAATATTAGTGAAGTGCTATAAAATGTGTTATTTCAATGCATTTTATTGATGTCTTTATTCTATATTTCAGTCGTTTCTCTTTATTGAACCCTCTCTCATACAAAAAAAAAGAATTAATGAGATAATAATTATATACTCAATTGTAAACAGCTTAACACAGTGCCTGGCATATAGTAAGCACTATATAAATGTTAGCTATTTTTAATTAAGCAGAAACATCCAGTAAAGAAATCTTATCTGTTAATGTATTTAATATTCAACCCTAGTGACCTTCCTTTAACCTCCTGCTCTTTCATGATGGGGAGAGATGTTCTGCTATGTGTTTCAGTTGCTAATATTATAATAAACTTGGAAGATAAATTTTCTCTTTTGCAACTTCCTATGAAGGACCTCCGTTCAGCAAGGAGCTTTAATTGTTCTGTAGGAAAGGCTTCCTTCTGCTCCTATGACTGCTACATATCCCATCTCTGGGACTCATTGTCCACATATATAAAATGACATATGATTGATGGAGCACTAACCTGGCAATTGTAAGACCCCAGGAATGGAGTCCTGGCTTTCAAACTAATTAGCTATATGGGGCAAGTTTTTTTTAACTTCCCTTTACTTCAATTTCTTTGTATATAAAATGTAAATAACTGCACTTCCTATCTCATAGGGTGGCTATTAAACTAATTATTTTTTAAAGAGTTATCTTTGTTATTAATTCCTTGAATGACCTTGGGTAAATCATTTCTGTTGTCTTAGCTTCAGTCCTCTTAGAGGCAAAATAAAAAGTCTCTTAATGGGCTATTCTATGACTAACAATTTTCTATACAGAATTTTAGTTTTTAATATTGCTAAATGTAACAAAATTGAATGAGACATAAAAAATATTAAAGAATATCCCAAATATAAAGAGAGCTATGGTTTGGTTTTCATTTACTTCATGCATTAATTGGTTGACTTAGTAATTAATTCATTCAATCATTTATTCAGAGAATGACAAAATATCAATGTTGACAAGATAATCATAGGTTATGTAGTTTGGCCTGGGATGCAATAAAGATATTCTCTACATCATCTGACGATCCATTTATAATGTCATTAATTTACATAAGTTATAGACCAATATGTGTTAGGCTGGTGGACATTCAATTACAAATAAAAGGGGGAGGGAATGGGCATACACACTTATTAAATGTTAACTATGTGCCAAGCACTGTGCTAAACACTATACATATTATCTTATTTGATCTTTTCAGAAATCCTGGGAAATAGGTGCTATTATTATTTCCATTTTACATTTGAGGCAGACAGAGGTTAAGTAACTTATCAAGGGTCACACAGCTACTAAGTGCCTGAGGCTGAATTTCTACTCAGGCTTTCCTGACTCCAGACCTAGCATTCCATGCTTTGTGCAGCTAGCTGTGCACAAATATGGCATAGTTGCTTTCCTTAAAGAGTTCTGGACTCCATTACTATGACCAGTGACTTCATAGTTAACTTCAAGATATGGAATAGTTCTGATGAGTAAGTTCTGAAAGAAATCAATGCCTCTTATTTATAACTATGATAAATATTGCACTATTTAGGGTCCTTTCTCAGATATTTCTGCATTGATAAAAATCATGGAATTGTAGTTCACATTTGTATAGTATTTTACAGCTAAAAAACTCTTCCAAGTAAACACATTTTTTTTCTCATTGTAACCTTCCACCATCCAGGTCTCAAGGTTGTTTTAAGAGCTGTCACTCCCATGTAACAAATGTGCGAATGTTTCATTACTCTATTCTATGGGTGTGAGTTTATTTCCATGCATCTTCCCATCATTTCTTTTGTGTAAATAATAATCATAAATGTGTCTGCACAACCAGTTATTGCCCAGACTATTATCAAACCAAAGTATACCAATTTATGAATCCCTGTGGAAATCATGTTTGTTAAAACTTGCCAGTATCATATGCTTCCTTTGAATTGCATAATTTTATAGATTTTTCAAATAATTTAAGAATCATACAAATCTACATAAGGATAAAACATGCATATAGTAGTTGGTTTACTGGATGGATGCTTGAATAGATGAATGAATGGTTGGATGAATTTGCCTCTCATTTTGAAGAAGAGGCAGGTGGCGAGTTCAAAAAGCACTGGATTTGGCATCAGAAGTTCTGGATTCATTTTCCTGCTCTGCTGTTTACTATCTCCATCTCTTAGGAAGCTTTGAAATAATAATAATGATAATAATAATAATAATAATAATAAGATGATGATGATGGAGGAAGAGGAGGAAGAGGAGGAAAAAGGGGAACAGGAGGACAAAGGGAAGGAGGAAAACAAAGGGGAGGAAGAGGAGGTGAGGAAGAAAAAGAAGAAGGAGGAGGAGTAGGAGATTTAAATGATGTTTTAAGTTTAGCAAAGTGCTTTACATATGTTATCACATTTGATCCTCACAAAAAACCCTATGAGGTAAGTGTTATCATTACCCCATTCTGCATATGAGGAACATAAGTCTGAGGGAGGATCACTGACTTGCCCAGGGTCACACAACTAGTAAGAGTTTGAGGCAGGATTCAAACTCAGATCTTCCTAATTCCAAATAAGACATTTTGTCCACTGTCCTACCATGATCCTCAGTTTCACTATCCTACCTAGATCCTACCTATTCACTCTTGTACCATGGTCCTCAGTTTCCTCATCTATGAGAATGTGTTTAATTATTACAAGCATTTAACAAAATATGTGAATCACAAACTGCAAAGCCTTCTATAATCTTCATGGAAAGAGGAGGGGGAATCACCAGGAGTTTCCTCGCAAAGGCCAATACCAAAAAAAAACACAAAAAACAAAACAACATTTTAGCATTTCACTTTGCAAATAGTATCTCATTTGAGACACTCAATCTCTCACATCTATAGGCATTTTCTCTGGCTGTCCCTTGTGTTCTCTGGCTTTCCCTCATCTCTGACTCTTGATTTCCCTGACTCCAATTCCCAGCTAAAATTCTATGTTCTCTAGGAAACCTTTCCCAATCCTTCTTATTTCTCATATCTTTTCTCCACTAAGTATTTCCTATCCATTCTGTACATAGCTTATTTATACCTATTTGTTTGCTTGTTGTTTCCCCCATTAGATGGTGAGCTCCTTGAGAACAGGGACTGTC